AACTAAAGGTTATTCTGTTGTAATTTGAGATGACAAGAAGATAATATGTTTGTGAAGTGATGACCAAAGGGTTTATCTTTTTGTCATAAAATACACTAAACGTTTTATTCAGGATAATTTTTGAAAGCTAAAAATTTTTTTCGAATCAGCTGATTTTAGCCAATTTTCAATAGAATTTTCACTTATGACTTAATCGATGTCATATTTAGATAAATATTAATTCTGTCAAGATTACAAATATATAATGAGATAACTGGTTTTGAGATGGTGGAGAGAATTTTTAGCTCAGGTGGATGATTGTGATGGTGTTTGGTTCTCTGAGCTGGGAATGTTTTGGTTGTGGAACTTTCATCATTGTTCTTCTACTGAACAACATCGTCGCCAGCACAAAATTCAGATTGCAGAAGTGATGTATTCGAATTTATTCACGTTTTACCCGTAGCTTGTTTTAACTCATTCGTAACAACAAATAGTTTAGTACATATTCGAATTAATTTTACTAATACATGCTTGTATCTTCTTGGTGATGGCTCTAGTAGTTTTCAAAGGTTCCACCCCATACAGTAGAACAGTCTTGACATTTATATTGAAAACTGTGACTTTGATGTTGGTCGATAGTGGTTTTGAGTTACGGACTTTGATTTGCTTATCAGTGTATTCACATCTGCATCAGTCAGATCCACCTTGCACATCAATAATGTTGACCAGATATTTAAAGGTTTAAACATCCTCCAAGGCGTCTCTATCAAGTGTGATTTGATTGATGCGTGTTGTGTTATATCGGAGAAACTTTCTCTTTCTTTTTGTGTATATTAAGATCTGCTGCTAGCGAGGTTGCCGCTATACTGATCTTCTTCTGATACATTTGTTGTTGCTTGTAAGGTTGAAGAGCCAGATCATCTACGAAGTCCAGATCATCCACCTGCGTTTTGGCTGTCCACTGTATACCATGCTTCCCTCCAGATGTTGACGTCTTCAAAATACAATCGATCACCAGCAGAAAGATAAAGGGTGAGAGTAAGTAACCTTGCTTGACACCGGTCTTCACTTTGAACGAGTCTGTCAGTTGACCTCCATGCACAATTTTGCAGTTGAATCCATCATGAGAATTTCGTATGATGCTGACTATCTTCTCTGGCACACCGCAGTTACTGAACACTTATTTCTTTATGAATTGAGATTCCTCAACCGAGAGCACCCACCATCCCATTACAAACTGATTACAATGCCTTTTATCAATCAATTGGCTTCACATTTCTTAGTTCATATTATTGACTTCAATTGTGTTACGTTTACAAATTTTATTGAAAATATTATAGATTTATTTAAATTTTTAAAATCATTTAGTAACAAACAACACAGAATTTGGGATATTTGTGCATCAGTTCAGTTTACGACATTAGCTCATCATGGTTCGATGAAATGAAGTAGTCGAAGTAGTCCGAAATCAATCATAATCAATAAGATTCGAGAAAAAAATGAAATTCGTCGATTAAACAAAGGAAAATTATACATCTAGGCCGCACTAACTACAATTACATCTAACAATACATCTCAGTCCAACTGTAGTGTGTGCTACTTATACGAACGATATAAGTAGTATAAGAAGGGACGTGAAAGAACAAGTCTCACAGTCAGAAGAGGAAAACGGAAAGCAAATGGAGCAAAAGCAAGAAGTAAATGGAGTACCAACAGGAAGGAAAGGAAGTAACAGCAGGAATGGAAGAAGGATGGAGCGTTGGAAGTCAGGACTCAAAGATGGTGTGCAAATAGAGTGTTCAATGTAATGTTTTCGTTTTTAATTGACTAAGAGTGTAAAGTTACATAATTCAAGTTAATAAATGTAACATTAAGAATGATATTGTTGGGGATGTTAGATCCCCAGAACTCGATTGATGAATGCCTTAACTTGGATTTCACGTTTGCCAGCATGGGCTGATCAGTTGACCTTCAGATTTCGTTTCCAACCAGGAAAGTCCATGGCTGTGATTGGCTGCTGTGTATTTTAGTGTGCTATTCTCCTAACTGCCCCAAGGACATTTCTATGATGTATAAATAAACGAGAGTTGTATGCTTGATTGTATTATGATTGCTGGGTGTGTGTGGAATATACTTTCTACGCTTGCCAAGCCTTCTGTTTACAGCTTAGGATTCAAGGTAGCCTATCTGGACGCTGGTAATTTGTCTCGTTCGCGTTTATCGACTAAAGTAAACTCATAATACCTCCAAGCGTACCAAGTGACGAGAGTAACAGATATGCACAATGTGGATTCAACTGTTAAACACTATTAATGATCTTTGCTAATACGATATGAATTTTTTTATTCAACCTAATTATAGTTGTTCAGTACTTTGAAATGATTAAAGTTAGACATTAATACTGTTGGATCCCAGCTCAGTGTTCTTGAGATTAAGCATTCGCACATCAGATTAGAGGTCTTGGGTTCGATTGCAATGTGCGAGGGTTATAGCTGGGTTCTGCTGATCAGTCCCATACTAAGACCGAATCGGTCATCCAGTGTTTAGGAGTTTCTGATGATGAGTTAACAACGACTGATTCATGATTTTCATGAAACATAACAATCTCTACGACTCTATGATGAGAAAATCTTTGTCCTATTAGATTGAATCACCAAAATCTCAGTGGATTTATGACAATATATACCAAAACGTACACGGAGAAAATTAAAACACTGAACTATGTACTCTGAATTCCTTCTTTCTACAGTCAATCATTATGGGCGGTTTAAAATAATTACTTGTCATGTTCAGTTCACTATTTCGGTTTATATTTATCAATACACTTGTTCTTACTGAGTTGTTGACATTATTATTACAATATAAATCTACACCCGGTAGGCAAGTCATTTCTAAAATTGAAGAATAACTGAAATTCAAAACAACTGTCTTTCAACCAACACGAAAGTCACGATTGTCAATACAAGTGTCATGACAGTTCTACTGTATGGGGCGGACACATCAAGGCATCACCCACAACATACAGGTGTTTATCCACACTTGTCTACACTAGATACTTTGTGTCCGTGGGCCAGACACCATCAACAACAACCTACTGTTGGAGAGAACAAACCTGATTCCAGTGGAGAAAGAAATCAGGAAGAAGCACTTGAAATGGACATGACGCACATCGAGGAAATCATGCGACTGCATCGCAAGACAAACCCTCAAGGTCAAAGGTCCAAGGAGCATACTGAGCTGAGAATCGGAGATATGAGATGAATGAGCAAAAATTGGACACAAAGGGAAAGGAAGGCAGACGACAGAGTAGATTGGAGAATGATGGTTTTCCGCCTTCATTAGGGTTTACAGTCGTTAGGAATTGAAGTAAGCTTGTAGGCAACGGTAATTTGACATTGATTTCAATAGGAGAGCCCAATACTATCGTGGCATTAACAATAAATCCTGGACAACAGTTCCTAATGCTGTAGAGTAACTACACATACCTGGAAACCTAGTGAACCATACTGACATTGTGGTGGTGGTGTTTGGTTCTCTGAGCCGGGGATGTTTTGGTTGTGGAGCTTTCATCATTGTTCTTCTACTGAACAACATCATCAGCACAAACTTCAGATAGAAGTGAAGCATTCGAATTTCTCCACGTTTGACCTGTAGTTTGTTCTCCTAACATCGATGGTTGCTGTTGACCCTAAACCTATCGTTGTTTGCACTTTTGTTTTGATTGTATCCCCCTTTTTGATCTGTTTCAAAAATTTCACTAAGTTCGAAACAATGGTCCTATTGAAATATGTATTTTTCGAAATGTATTCTTGCATAACCTAGTATGTTGCTCAATGGTGCTCAGAATAAAAGCTGTAGCTTAACTTTGCTAAATGTGGGTGGATTTGTTTTGGTAATTCTCTCCTCAACTTAGACGTAACCGTAAATATTAAGGTACTACTACCACGAAATCAACTGCATACAAACTTTGTTCAAGAGAGCGAAGACACACTGCATCATACATGAGGCACTAAAAGACGAGGAAAAATATCTTATGACTATCTTCCAGAGGAACGGCTATTCACGAAAATTCATCAAAAAACATCAACCGAAATCATCATCAGAAGTGAAATTAAGTACAGGAAACAATAAACGGATCATCCTACCATACATAAAAGACATATCGGAACACACAGCATGACTACTGAAACCATTTGGAATAGGTGTGGCACACAAACCAACAGAATCACTTCAATCAATCCTATGTAGACCAAAGGACAAAATGACAAAGGAAGAACAACCAAATATCATCTACAAAATAAATTGCTCAGATTGTGAAAAACACTACATAGGACAAAGCGGACGGCCTCTTCATCAACTCCGTTTACGTGAACACCAATAAGCAGTCAAACGCCACGACAGTTCTTCACTTATATCAATACACACTGACAATTATGGACATACATTCGATTGGAACAATGTGGAAATACTGGATATGGGGAGCATAAAGGATACTAGAGAATATCTTGGAAGCTTGGCACTCAGGTCAATCAGCAATCAACAAACACATCGACATTGACCCAATTTATCAACCAATCAGGAAAATCATAGGTGACATAGGATCAAGAAACAGATCAAAAGGGGGATACAATCAAAAAAAGTGTAAACAACGACAGACAGCAACCAACTAAGATCGAGGTTAATAGAACCGAGCTACAGGTCAAACGTGAAGAAATTCGAATGCTTCACTTCTGTCTGAAGTTTGTGCTGATGATGATGTTGTTCATCGGAAGAACAATGAAAGCTCCCCACAATCAAAACATCCTCGGCTCAGAGAACCAAACACCACCACCACCACAGTCATCCACATGAGCTACAAATCTTCTCCACCATCTCATACGGTCATTAGGTATATCGAATTACTAACTTTGATGGCTGGATAAAAAAGAATAGATGAAAAACTGTAAAAGGTAGTGTTATTCTTCCAAGCCAAAATGTTTAAATTTTGAAAAGAGAAAAGGGAAAATGTCAGCTCAACTTACTTTTGCACCTAATGACGAATAGCATTCATCAAATAACATCCAAACTTTCGGTTTATATTTTTGCCATAAAGTTAATTTACCCGATTGATATATATCATCCCAACCGAATTTGGAATATAATTCTTCTTCCGTCCTTCGTTCTGTATCTAAATCTAAATCATTTAATATTTGTAGAGTTTCTTGTGTTTCACGATGTGATGTATAAGTCATCCAACAACATGGTTCAACCTAAACAAATAGAGAAGGAAAAAAATATTTATAGATTCCCATTGTGAAAAATTAGAATAACACAGATATATATATATAAGCGAACAATATTGACTGACATTCTCCTGTCGACCAGCGATGCCTATCTTAAACGTAGGATAAGTTATACCTGAGTTGGCCTCCTCTATGTGGTGCATTTACAAATTCAGCTGTGCTCCTGTGGTGGAGATAGCTATATCGGGCGTACACTTCCAGGCAACTTAACCAAATGAATGAGTGAACATCTCCCAGCATGGTTTAAGAAAGGTCAGTCAAAAATAATACGCAGTTCTTATCTATCTTAGCTCACCTGGTAGATAATGGTCACATTGTAGATAAATCTAGATCTTTTCGGGTGATCTATCGTATACCCCTCCATCATTTCCCAACGGAGTTCGCTGCCGTCTCCTACACACATTGCAGAAGCCATAGGAATACGTACATTCAACCTCAGTTTATGTGTTCAGAAGAAATTCGTGACACCCCTATTTCTTCTGCGGCCGGACATGACGATTGACATTATCTTTTTTACTTATTATTTTTAACACATTTGCTTATTACGTAATGGTTTCGATGTTTTTTGATGATTATTTCAAGTCTATTCATCCACCATTGACCTACTATTGATAAAACTTTAGTTATCATATTTTATAATTTTACTACTACTATCAGTACACCTGTCATCCTACTATCCACTGGTACTTCTGCCTGTAATATATGTAGTGACGTAATCTCTTTTTCATTTCATTGTGATTATCACTCAAATTGCCTTGATTGGTTTCACATTTTCATACATAAATATTCATGTATATTAGAGAGTAAAGCAGCCTGATGACGATCTAATCGAAAATAACAACATTATTGTTCGCTTATATGTGTTCTAATTTTCACAAAGGGAATCTTTAGTGTTCAGATTTCACTTGTGATTTCCAGCTTACCCTGTTGACTTCAATCTCGATTAGTTATTATTAACCTTAAATCTGTTATTATATGAATCTCTATATTGATTGTTTCCCCTCTTGGTTTTGAGTTGGTCCTGTAATTTATGGATGATTTTATTGATTGGTTGGTAAATTGAATCAATTTCTATGTGTTTGTTGATTGTGTCTTTTGACATGAGTGAGTGCCCAGCTCATAAAAATTCTCTGGTGTTCTTAGTATTTCCACTGTCCAACATTTAGTGAAACATAGCCAGGAAGAGTTAAGGTTATTAGTGGGTTGTTAGTATTGGATTATAGATACCTTCGTACTGATTTTTGCTTATAATTCTACCACCTCTAATATCGTGGGATTTGAATTGACGATTCGATCGTTTTTGGACTAATGTGATATAGCGACTTGAACAAATGTTCGTATGTTCGAAGTTCTACGTTGTTGCTGGCTGACTGACTGTGACCAGTGAGCCGACATTTGACAGTGTTCATGTCTAACTCTGATAAATGCAAGGTATTATGCAACCTCATCCATTATCTTTGTATTGGGTTCGTCACTAAGTATGCTTGAGGCTATTACGAGTTTACCTTAGTCGATAAACGCGAACGAGATAATTACCAGCGTCCAGATAGGCTACCTTAAATCCCAAGCGGTAAAACAGAAGTTATTGTAAGCGTAGAAAGTATATTCTACAAACACCTAGCAATCACACAGTACAATCAAGCATACATCTCTCGTTTATTTATACATCATAGAAACGTCCTTGGGACAGTCATAAAAATAGCACACTAAAATACACAGCAGCTAATCACAGCCATGGATTTTCCTGGTGGGAAATGAAATCTCAAGGTCAACTGATCAGCCCATGCTGGCAAACGTGAAATCCAAAATAAGGCATTTATCAAGCGAATTTCGGGGATCTAACATCCCCAACACTTTGTTGAGTAAATGCAATACACTTGAGAGGATTGAACTAGAACTTCGAGAATTTTCTCATGAAGGTTAGTCTTGTTTCAGATATAAAAACTATTGAATTTAGTCTCATTTTAATTGACTGTTTGACCGTAGAGACTTTAATTGACCATTCTCATTTTTTGCGGACATCTGAGCTGATTGCCTCAAGATTCTTGTTAAGTTACAAATATATATTATAAGCAGAGATGGATGATAGCTAGCAGTGGAGTCCATGACGCTCGCTTCATCCTATTTAAGACCTACCACTTGGATATATTTTCATTTCAAATATGTTATTCACTACAGAACTCTAACTCGTTGGCCAGACACCATCAGCAACAACGTACTGTGGAAGAGAACAAACCAGATTCCAGTGGAGGAGGAAATCAGGAAGAAGCGGTGGAAGTGGATAGGACACACACTACGAAAAGCACCTAACTGCGTCACGAGACAAGCCCTTACATGGAACCCTGAAGGCAAAAGGAAAAGAGGAAGGCCAAGGAACACACTACGCCGAGAAATAGAGAAAGATATGAGAGGAATGAACAAAAACTGGAAAGAACTGGAGGGGGAAGTCCAGGACAGAGTTGGTTGGAGAAAACTGGTGGGCGGCCTATGCTCGATCAGGGGTAACAGGCGTAAGTAAGTAAGTAAGTAAGTAAGTAAGTAAGTACAGAACTCTAATTCACTACCATTCGCTTCATTATATCATGGCGTCCTGGAATGAACATTAACTATGGGATGAAGATTCATTCAGCTTATAATTCTGGAACAGGATCAAACAAGCATTCGGGGATCCCACTGTTAACCAATATTCATCAGTTTTATTGAATCTCCAGGGGTAGAAGTAATAAAGAATAAGGGATGGAAGTGGATAGAACACACATTTAAGAAAACATCCAACTGCGTCACAACACATACTCTCACTTAGATACCTTAGGACCAAGCGGAAAAGAGATAGACCAAACAACACATTACTTCAGGAATCAGACATGTATGGCATGAACAGTAATTGGAAAAGGAAGGTTGGATAAAGAGTAGGAGGTTGAAGAATTCTGATCGACTGCCTCTACTCCTTTGGGGATAACAAGTTTATGTAAGCAAATAAAAATGATATACAGATTTGATTTTATTTTTAATTATATGTTAAGCAGTTTTGAAATGTGATTTCTACTACTCATATCGTTATTATTATTATTATTATTATTATTATTATTTATGAGTTTATTTTGAATGATTGCGTCATAATTATTGAAAATGTAATAAAAAAGTATTATTTTCACCATTGAAACTTTTGTTCATAAAATTAAATTAAAAATGGTCCTAGAATGTCTTGAATTAAATAGTGAGACGATAAAGTTTCCATTCTAGAGACAAAATCATTTGTGTTAATAAAAGGGCACTTTTAGGATTATTGTCGGTTCGAAGCCCCGATTGAGGAGGAGGGTTGGGGGTGGGTGAAGCGACAAAGATTCGTAGAAGTCCAACTCGCAGAAAAGATGCTAGATGCCTGAAATAATAATTCACCTGTCGGCGCCCTATGCTTCATGAAGGATAATAGTCGTATGTAAGTAAGTAAGTAAGTAAGTAAGTAAGTAAGTATAGAAGAGAGAATATGCTTAGCAGTAGACACTATGAATTAATTACATTTCATTCTATTTCGAACCTGTATTTGTCTGGATGTAACTGCCATTATCACAGAGTTCATGTTCACTCTGAGACTCGAACTCAGTACGGTATGCTAAGAACGTCACTGCACTATTCACTTATCTAGTGAGTCCAAATGGCCATTCAGTTACGTGAAGTATATGAGATTTAATTCAGTTTGAAACAGTTTGGATTAACGCATTTATAATATATATATATATATATATATATATATATATATATATATATATAGACTGGATTTAGTCAGTCTTGTGCGTTCACGTTCAAAACATGGACATCATCTACTAGATAATGACAGGTACCATCCAGCCAAAGATTTGTCCGAAATAGGATGAAATGTACATCCTGGATTCCATTGCTAACCATGTTGAATCTGTTCTAATCATAAACTAATATCGAATAGATCCTCATGACACGCTCATCTACCAACAATCACGGATCACATTTCAGTTAGAAAATATCAACAATTGGATTGAATCAATAATTACTGAAATCATAGATCGATCATCGTCAGGTCACCATTAGAAACCTGGAAGCACTGAACGATTGTTGAGTTCCGGTATGGGACTTACCAGTATCAGTGCACATCTACGACTCCTACTACTTTCAGGATCCGTACCCACGACCTTATGTCTTGTGCGCGAATGCCAAACCTGCGGACCACTGACCAATGAGAAGGCGTGACCATTGGAGTTCGATTCTGTCAGGTGTAGGCAGTAGATACCGAAGGCAAATATGTTTGGTTGCTCAAAATCCTTAGATTGACCAGAGTTAGGAATTAATACCGTAGAATGCCGGCACAGCGGTTAAGAGTTTGAACATTCGCGCGTAAGACCAATGGTCCAGGGTTTGAATCCTGTGGGTAGCTGGAGCCGTGGATGCGCACTGGCACTGACGAGTCACATACCAGGACGAAATGGGCCATCTTTCAATGCTTCCACGTTTCTAATGGTGGTCTAACAAGGATTATTGCATTATTTCAGTAGTAAACAACAATCTTCATAACTTCATAATGGAAAAAATTAAACATTCATTGTCTATTTTTAATTTTCAATTGATTTGGTACTGTGAATATTATCTATGAGGAAAAGGATAGTTTCACCAATAAATCGATTAAATACATAAATAATTTACACTAGTACTTTTATTTTACCTTATGAGTATGAGTATTTTCTTTTAGTCAGTTAAAAATAATCATTCTGTAAATATTGTAGATTTATGATCGATAAACTGTATATAAGTGAATTAAATAGCCTTGTTGTAGCTCAGGAAAGTGTAATCAATTATTCTAAAATGTCATAGATATAACACAAAGTTTTGAGAAAAAAACTGTGTGTCACAAATAATCTTTAAAGAGATTTCATAAGATTTTTGAATTTAACAGTGAGTATATAAGCAGATAAGCGAAACTCTGTTACACAACAACA